GTGTGTGTGTGTGTGTGTGTGTGGGAGGTCTTCACTTCCACTTCTCCTGAACCCCCAAAGCATCCTTTCACCTCACCCCCATCTTGAGAAGGGGTAGGGCAAAGAAGGAACCTCTTCATTTCCAGGCCCCCCCCCAGAGATGTCGGGATTTAAAGGAACAGCACACCACAAGGGCCCGAGTTCGGTGCTCTGACCTTTATCACTGTTCTAGTTTTCTTTTATGGCAGAACCCTTTTCCAACAAAATATTAAACCAAGCTCAAAGCACACGAAGCTGACGGTAGCTGAGGGGCTCTGGCATTAGCAGGAAAGGGAATCCTGCCCCCCCCCATCCCAGAGAACTCTGCCTCAGGGCAGTAGTTGACGTCCCTCTTGGGATCCTGGGGTTCCAGAACCTGGTTGTGAAAACCATGCTCAAGCCGTGGCTTTACTCAGGGCCGATGCAGAAAATGGCTCAGACTGAAAGCAGGAGACTGGAGGGAACCACCCAGGCCAGTCTCTGCGGAGGTCCCAGAGGCCGCAAGACAGGCATCTCCTGTCTCTGATGTCTGCAGGGTGAGGGACGTCTCACCTTTCTCCAGAATGAAGGGCTAGGTCAGAGGTCATCCAGGCTCCCCAGGACTGCGCAGGGACGGTGAACGACGGGGTCAATGCACATGACCACAGCCCAGGAGCCCACCTGGTCCATCCTCAGTGCCCGGCCAGGAGGAGGGAGAGAGGGGGTGGTGTGCCCAGTGCCGGGCACAGGAGCCCTCGCGGAGTGCACTTGGAGCCTGAGGTGACTGAAGAATCTCTAGATGACCCAAGGGTAGACTGTCCACCGTGCAGGGTGCACTTCCAGTCCCCAGGCTGCTCCTCCCTGTGTGGGCGTCACATGTCACTCCAACCTCCATCCTGCCACTTGAGCTCTTGTCACAGGTGGTCCGTAGACCTGCGGCCTCCCAACACAAAACCAAACCGCGAGTCCTCGGCACGTCGGAGCACAGGTTACTGTGGCCTGAAGAGTGGTGTCACCGTAAAAACCAAGCGGACAGCGGGGCACGATGACCTCATGGCCTCTAGGACGGGGTCCCCACGGGCTTCCACCGTCACACTGGAAATCCACTGTCCATCAGGGCGGCCCGCAGCCTTCCCCCACGGTCAGATGCAGGGGTCCCGCAAACCTCATCCCACAGCAAGCGGCATCCAGGCTCCACCCTCTGGGGACCCAGATGATGTTTGGGTCATTTGCCCAAATGCCATTTACCCGATGGCCCTTCTATAGTTTGCTCACCTCCTTTCCCCGGGACCTGAAGGGAAGGCTGCCCTCGGTCTCAAGGGACGAGCTGTGTCCCCGCTAGAAGAGAAGATCACGCCCTAGAAGGAGGAGCACGCCCCTGGCCTCAGGTAGCCCAAGAGGGACCCAGGAAATACTCCTGTCGTTCCTCAGCCTCCGGGTCCTCGTTTGGAAGCAAGTGCCCTAGAGGAAGAGAAAGGGGTCAGCAGGGGACAAAGCCGGGAGGGAGGCGGGGAGGAGGGTGGCCCTGAGTGGGCCGGGAGTAGAGGAGGTGGCCGTCACCGCAGGCAGTCCCCCCCCACGTCTGGGGGCCCCTCCGTGGAAGACTCCCGAAGCCTGGGGAGGGGGAGAGGAGGCACCCGAGGTCGGTGTTCTGGGGATTTCTGTCGGGTCCTCTCAGGTTGTTTGGAGACAGAGCAGCCCCTGTGCTCACCTGGACCTTAGCTGGCTTCTGAGAAGGCACCTGCC